TTACAAATAGTTTTGGGGGTTTTGGTCTTTGCAAATAAAACAAATGAATCACTTTGCAGCCTCAGAAATGCCCCCTGCCCCTTGCAGGCACGATGCAGATCCCAACACTCCCACATGGGATGGATTAATGAGTCACCCTCTGCTTCCAGCACCTCTGCAAGCCCAAGGAATGAAACTGAACCCCTCTAACACGTTCTTGGCATCTCCCAGGAGCTTCGACCACACAAATCCCAACCCTTCCACGTGCCAGGAGGAAAAGCAACCCCTCCCAAGAGCAGGGAGAGTCTGGGGTGAGGAGCTGGCTGGACACGGAGGGTTTCCCGTTTCCAGGAATGCCGAAGGTCGCAGCTTTCCTGGCAGCTCTGCAGCAGCTGAAACGCCCCAGGCTGGAAGGGGCTGATTGTGGGGAAATGAGCAGAAAGAGGCTCAGAGCAGCAGGGAGGGAGGATTCCCAAAAATCTCTTGGCAGCAAGGTCACATCTGGATTTGCAATCGATGGCAAAATTGCCAGCGAGGCTGGGGGAGGGAGGGAGGGAGGGAGGAAGGAAGGAAGGAAGGAAGGAAGGAAGGAAGGAAGGAAGGAAGGAAGGAAGGAAGGAAGGAAGGAAGGAGAAAGAGGAGGCATCATTTCTCAAAGGCCCAGAGGAAGCAGCCCCAGCACAGAAATCTCTCCAGCAGGAACTCGCTGCCTCTCCTGGGCTGTCCCAGCCAGCTCTGGAAGCTCTGAGTTCCCAACAGCAACATCTGCAAGCTGCTCCCAGGAAAATCCAGCCAAAACCAGCAGAGATGTGCTGTCCTCAAGAGCCACAAACTTCTGACCCCACTGAGGTCACACTGTGGAGAGCACTCAGAGCATCACACACCTACTGCTCAAAGCAGGGTATGAGCCACAAAAAGAGAGATTCCACCTGGCCAGAAACGTTGGTTTCAGTGAGTTTTTGATCTCAAACCCTGATCCTGTTCCATGGCAGCAGCTCACCCCACTCACAGGGCCTCACCCAGCCTGTGCCCATCCCTGTCAGCCCCTAAAGGGGACTGGAGCTCAGATCTGGTGATGGAAATTTTCCCAGATCTGCAGAGCTCCAGCAGGACTCAGGAGAGCTCAGGGAGGTGGCAGGGCAGGGAGCAGCCCCTCGGGGCCTGGGCTTGGTTTTGGGGCAGCCCTAAAGCTGAGCTCCAATTTCTCTCCATCTGCAGCTGCAATGCCACAAACAACTCGAGGCTGCAGCAGCAGCAGCACATCCACCCCAGGCTGTGCCTGATGCACTCTCAGCCCTCGGGGTTCCACAGATCTGCCCAGATCCTGGCTCTCAGACATGTGGAATTGCTCCCCAAAGGATCCGGCCCAGATTCCAGCTTTCAGCCATGGGGATTTTTTTCCCAAAGGATCCTTCCTGTGTCAGGGCAGCCATCCCAAGGGCTCAGCGACCCCAGGCACACCAAGCCTGTCCTGAGCCCCAGCAATCCCTGGCTGGGTTCTGGTCAGGAAATGGTGAATTCTTGCTGCCAGCAGGGATCTGAGCCACCACAGTGGAACCAGCACCTTTCCACCCCAATATCGCTGCTGATATTAATTCTGAATTAAGGCAGACCCTGTGCTTGGCAGCCAGAACCAGCATCAGACCTGGGGGCTGAGCTTCACGGTTATCACAACAGAGAAAAGCAAATCCTCTGGAATTCCTGCTTTAATCGATGGCAGGAAAAGTTCTGTCTGATTGTTTTGACCTTTGTACTCACCGGGCTGGGCTTCCAAGGGGAGATCCACAAACTCAATTTATTCCTTAGGAGTTTCCTGCTCTTCCTTTTCCCTGCCTGGAAGCAGAACCTGGGGAAAACAACCTCACTCCCAGACTTCCCCCAGGCAGCTGCAGGTGTGGAATATTTGTAATTAAGAGTTCATCCATGACCTGGGATGCTGCTCGGGGCCTACACCAGAGTGCCAGGGCTGGGTTTGTTGTTTATTGGGAATACAGGTGGGGATGAAAGGACAAGGAATTTTGTCAGGGAGGTGTTTTGCTCTCCTGCTGTGCCTGGAGGCTGTCGGGGCACGGTGGGGAGCAGGGATGCGGGAAGAGCAGCACGGCCACGCTCCTGAGGGGAGCCGGGAGTGCCTCTCCCACTGGGACATCTCCAGGAAAAATCCCAGTTTTCACTCCCACACCGGTCGTCAGTGCACAGATCCCGGGCGCTGCCAAACCCAGACCCCACCGGGAGCGAGAGATCCCTGGGGAACACCGGGGTGGGAAACGCTGCGGGCCCGGGATTCTCCATTTTCCATCCCCTCAGAAAGGAACCCGGCCCCGCTCGGGAAAGGACGGGCTGGTGCCGCCACCCAGCGGTGTCCGGCGGGGACACCGAGACAGGGACACCGGGACAGAGACACCGGGGAGGGGACACCGGGAACGCCCACACAGGGACACCCGATTACAGACCCCCTCCGGACCCTTTGTCCTCCAGGATCTCCCTCTACCCCCTCCATTCTCAGAGATTCCCCTCAGGAATCCCCGCTCCATGATCTCCCTCTATCCCCTCATTCTCAGGGATCCTCCTCAGGGATTCCCCTCAGGAATCCCTCAGGAATTCCCGCTCGGAGATCCCTCTCTATCCCCTCCATTCTCAGGGATCCTCCTCAGGAATCCCCACTTCAGGATCTCCCTCCAGCCCCTCCATCCTCAGCGCTCCCCGCTCAGGGTTCTCCTTCCAGCCTCTCCATTCTCAGGAATCCCTCAGGAATCCCCACTCCGAGATCCTCCTCCATCGCCTCCATTCCCTCCATCCTCACGATTTCCCCTCCAGCCCCCCGAGTCCCCTCAGGACACAGCTCCCCCTTCCCTTCCTCACTGACATTCCTCATTTTGCCTCACTTTACCTCACCCTACAAATCCTTTCCCTGCAGGATTTCCAGGCTTCTCCCCCTGACCCAGATCCACGTTTGGTTTCTTCTCCTTTCCAGGCACGTTCAGGTCACCTGCATTGCCTGGGATCTCACTAAGGGTTTCCTATTGGAAATGTGCATTTTTAAGCTGTTTTTCCCCATTCCAAGCTTTAAGAAACACAACCAGTCTTTCAGGAGAGTGAGGCTCAAATTTAGGGGCACATCCATTGCTCTGAGCCCCACAGCAAGCCCCTACCCCCCAAAAATTCCCTTTTTTAACCATTTGTGCCTTATAGGTGACAATTTTGTTCATACAGAATCCAAGGACACCCCTGTTTTTCAGCCCCTCACCTGAGCTATTCCAGGGCTCTCATCCTTTCCCCACTGACAAAACAACTCCAAGGTGTGATTATCTCATGACCACAGGGAATATTTTACCACCTTCCTCACTATAAAACCCCTTCTTGCTGGAATATTATCTTTCAAAAGACAAATGACACAGAAATGTGACATTTTTCTATTCACAAACATTTTAAAAAGCTGCTCTCTGCCTTGCCTTACTCTGTCACTACAGGTTGAATCTTATTGCTATTTATTCCATTGAGGTGCCCGAATTTTGTTGCAAGGAGCTAAAAATAAGGCAGCCCAGGGAAATCTATGCTTAGATCCCAACAGTTCTGTAAAGAAACATCTTCAGGAGGTAAATAAAAGGGAATATTGGTTGTGCCAGGAAGCCTTGCAGAGCAGGGCAGAGCTGGGGTGATCCAGTTTTTAGCTGTCAGTAAAAGTCACAGCAGAGCTGTAAAACCCTTTAAAAAGCAGAAACACAAACCAAGGTGTCTCAGCAGCCCAGGAAAAGGCAGAGCAGGGACAGGGACAGGGCTCTGAGGGACAGAGACAGCTCAGCCATGGGCTGCAAGGACATCCAAACCCTCCTTTTGGTCACTGAGCTGTTCCCAGCCAGGGCTCACAGACACCTCAAGGTCAGGCCTCAGACTGCACCCAGAAATTTGGCAAAAGCTGAGAGGAAGGAGCCACAATGGATCCTTTGTGTGAGTGCAGCTCCTGAGCATCTCCCAGCACAGGGAAGGCTCAGGAATCCAAATTTTGGTGACAGCAGACAAACAAGTCCCAGCAGTTAAAGAGAAACAGGGGCTGCTACCTTCAGATTGATTTTCTCCCTGCCAGGCAATTCATCACCAGCAGGGTTTTGATGAGTGCTAGGGGAAAAAAGAGAATTTACAACCCAAATTCAATTTCATTTTGCTGCAGATTTTTCCCTGATTTCCTCCTGTGCTCCACGTAATTTTGGTTGATTTATGAAAGCTCTGCAGCCATCAGGCTGTGGAAATAAAGACAGCAAGGATAAACTTCATAGTTTTTATTCTGCAAAGCAATATGCACATCTTACAAACACAAAAATTAATCTAGGAGAGAAATATCATTTCCAAATCAGCTATTAACCATCATGCAACAAGACAAGTGAAATGTAAGAACAAAACAAAACAAAAAACAAAAAAAACCAAAAATCAGCCATCTCGAACCCTACAATCACCTGCAGAGGGTTGAAACCAAGGCTCAGATTTTCTATGTAATGCCAAAGAAAATGCAAAAAAAACCAAAAAAAAAAAGAAAATGGCAGCTTTCTAAGAACAAGAAAACACGTACAAATAGAATCAAAACTGATTCAAGTCATAGTTAAAAAGAAAAAAGAAAAAAAAAGGAAAGATCAATATGATCTGAACTTTAATATTAAGTTTTAACTCTTCTGTTTGGCTGCATTTAACTTTGTACATCGCCTGGGAACAATCCAATATTCCTCAGCATTCCAGCACTTGGCCTGCTGGGACACCCTGCACCTCCCTGCTGCAGTACAGGGGGGGAAAAGGATGAACTAAGGCCAAAAATCCAAAACTCTCCAACCTTTTCCCTTCTGCATCTGTGGGTGACAATCTTTAATATTCCTGGGGGTGCAGAAAGTGGGGAGAAGTTGCCAAGGAGGTTCCTTTCATTCCCAAATGGTTCCCCCAAGAGCCCAAATTCCAACTGGGATGTTTGGAATTTGTTGAAGGAGGAAGGGTTTGCTTTGCTTTCCTGGAGAAATCAGAGGATTTTGGGTGGTTTTTGGGTATTTCCAGGATTCCTCTCTCCCAATCCATCTCCTATTCCTGCCTTTGGGGCCCAGATCCAGCCACCCTCAGAGGCAGCTCTTGGAGTGAGGATTAATTTGTGGGATTTAGGAACAGCTCAGGAGGAGCTCTTGGCCTGTCTCACCCCCAGGGAAGCAGCAGCAGCCCACAGCAGCATCAGGAAAAAAACTGGGAGCTTCATTTTATCCTTAAACTTCAAACCAGGCCATCTCTAAAGCTTTGCCTTAACATTCCCTGGAGGAAAACATGTCAGGTAATCCCAATTTAGGGAAACTGAAACTGTGGGAGGAAACAAAACTGTGACTGCTCAAACACCCTTGACACTCGTGAACTTACTGAAGTCCCAACACACACAGACCAGGAGTGGTGTCTGGAGGGAATAAACTGGGAATTTTCTGGCAGCATCACTGAGACTATGAGATTCTCACTTGGCTTTTTTCTTCTGAGGAGTTTGGAGCAAAAGGAGGAGGGAAAAAAAGCCTGTGGGAAGGAATGAAGAAGTGAATGAAGGAATGAATGAAAGCTGTGAGAAAATAAAAAGTCAATTAAGGCAACAAGTGAGATTTAAAAGCAGAGGTGGAAGTGGCTGAAGGAAGAGCCTGAGCCCTGAAATTCAGGAGGCTGCTCAAGGAACCAGGAAGAAAAACCAGCAAAAGGCAGAATGGAGAAGGGAGAAATGCACAGAATCAAATCTCTGACTGAAGAATGGACACAGAGAACAGAAGGGGTTTCACTGGGTGGTTTCTTTGACCTTCCTCACAAGATCCCCATTTTTGTGGCCATTTCCCCCATTCATTAATTTGCAGAAAATGGCAAATTAATGAATTGAATGGGCCAGAGCTCAGCAGTGCCAGTGGCAGCTGCCCCTCAGAGCTGCAGGCACAGTCCCACAGTGAAGCTCTGGAACAAACCCTGGGATCTCTTTTCCTTTCACTCTTTGCACTTGCCCAAGGCTGTGCAGAGCCCCAGCAGGCTGCTAACACAATACATCTTTTTATTAAGTTTCACTTTCTAGAAAGAAAAGAAAGAAAAAAAAATAAAAAAGCTTACAGACAGCTGCTCTGCAGCAGAGACACACAATCCTGGCTGGAGGGCTGGGGATGGGAGGCCAAGTGGAAAAGTTTTCCAGATAGTCTCTGTGCTGACTGGTTCTCTGGCATTCAGCAAGCCAAATGAAATACCAAAAAAAACAAACAAAAAAACCAAACCAAAACAACAACAAAAAAAAATCAAACAGTTCTTTTCAGTAAGTAACAGTTTAAAATGGGACTTCACTTCTTAATTTTTTTACTATGAATAAAAGCACAAGTTTGTCCTAAATACAGCACTATTAAAATGTGAATATGTATTTTTTTTTTCTTCCAAAAGAGAAAAAAAAATAATCTAAAACGTTGATATCTTTTCTTGCAAGCAAGGAGCAAATGGAATAAAGTATTAGGCCACACAAACACACATTGAATTCATGTTGTAGATTGGTGGCTTTGGAAATGCAGGATTATATCAAAGGTGCATACTTGGTTCAAACACACTGTACAGATTGGGCAAAAAACCAAACATCTCTTGGTTGGTTTGAGACACTTGCAAAGGCATCTTCACCTGCCCAGGTGCAGCTAGACAAAAATCTGCCTCTGTGGAGCCTTTTCACTGCAGTTATCTACACCACCATGGGCTGTCCCAGGGCAGGGCCAGGGGACAAGCACATCTGCTCAGAATTACTCTGGATATTCTGCTTTTATAAATATGTACAAATCAATTACAGGCACTTTGAAATGTCTTTGGTTGGAATAAACCAACATTGCAAGGTAATGGATTCACAGAGTGTTAAGACCCAGGCTGGGTTCAGCAGGCAATGGTTTCGGTCGTTCTCAGGAGGAGGAGGAGGAGGAAGGGTTTTTATGCTTCTGACAAAGCAACCTGGAAGAAAAACAAAGGAAGAGAAAATATTTAATTAAAGGCAAATTCTTAATCCTGTAACAGTGATATGATTTATCTCTGTGAGCTGGCAGAGCTGTCCTTGACTTTTCAAAGAAAGCTTGGAAAGTCTGACTTGGAAAGGAAATCAAAGGGAGTCTGAAGGCATTTTGTACTTTGCAAAAATCAATAGAATAAAAGTCCCAAACCACCCAAAATAAAAAAAAAAAAAAAAACACAAAAACCACCCCAAACCAGCTCAAACTACAAAACAGCATTAAGACCAAAAGGTGTCAACACTGGCTTCCTACTTCTCAATTAAAAATATTCATATTTAATCCTTCAGGCAAACTGCAAGTCCCAAGGTAATGCTGAACAATGATCTTTCAACAGCTTTGTTACTGTTTTTAACTCAATTCTAATTAACAACCAATGACTCTTTCAACAGCTTTGTTTTTAACTTAATTCTGATGAACAACCCCTAGAATTATGTATCATGTTTTACTCAGGGTTTTCAGTCTGTTGTGGTAGAAGATAATGAATAAATGAAGATTTAATGCCACCTATTCATTGCTTCACACAAAGCAGTTCAAACACCACCACAATTATGGCAGAAGAGTCACAGCCCAGCACTTCCTGAACTGCAATAATCCATTTCTGCAGGACAGAAATCTCATTTTGAGGATCTCCAAAACCCTTGTGTGGATTTTATAACCCCAACCTGCACTGTCCACAATGAAAGGCAATTAAATCCCCATCTCCAGAGACAAGAAAAACCAGTCTGTCCTCTGCCCAACAGGAGCTTTTCTCTGTTTCCTTATCAGAGCCAGGATTTTGTTAGCACACACTCACCTTTTCAGGGCAGAATTCTGTGTTGCTTTGCCTCAGTTTGCTTGGTCTGCCTTTAATGACTGCATAGCAGAACATTGTGATCACCATCACAAAGAGGAAGTAACTGGTGTGCATGAGGTGCAGGTTTATTAGAGAGCGATCATCCTGTACACAAAAAAGCAAATTAAAACCATTCACTAACTTAGCATTGGACATGAAAGCAATTATCAAATCAACCCAGAAATTACTTCATTAATCAACTTTCTCCCCTTTACACAGCAATGGGAGTGATTCCTAATTGTGGCACAAAATGTTTTTGTGATAAGGATCTGTGTTAAGGGTATTTTTCCAAATATTGGCAGAGGCTTTTGTGAAACTATAAATTGTGGTTATTAAGAGCTGTGAGGCACATGGATGAAGATCATCAAACCCATGAGGGTAGAGCATTCTCAGCCTTCACACCCCACAATAAACCAGTAGCACAAATGGCAATTTTAAGAAGCATATTCAATGAAACCACACAACAAACCAGCAGCAAAAATGACAATTTTAGGAACCATAACCAATGAAACCAGAGCTAAACATTTACTGAAAACACCAGAGGAACAGCCCAGCACTTACATCTGGAACTATGACAGTTAGTTTGGGGTTTAAAGCATGGTAGACTTTGCCAATTGCTCCCTTGTAACACCAGAAGGGGTTGTAATCCTGGGCATATTTTGTGTTCGAGTCCCTGGCCGTGGTGAAGATCTTGTACCACAGAGTGGCATTGCTGTAGGTCTCAGGAACACAATGTGGTGGCTGACTGCAAGAAAACAGAAATAATCAGCACCCTGAAATGTGTTTTCCATGTTCAACCAGCACAACTTTGCTTCTCAAAACGTGGTTTTAGTTTGGGCCTTCCAAAGCAACAACAAAACCCCAAAGTTTAGGTTAAAAACCCCCAAAAGCCACATGATTGCTATGCTAAAATCAGAATTTAACTGCATGTTGTTGCACTGAGCCAACATCCCACAGCTTAACTGGAAAAACACTGGTTTTCCTAAGACTTCCCCAGAGAAGACAAAGGAAGATATTTCAGTGAAGGCAAAGCAGCCTTTGCCTTGTGCTGATCTCTCAGCAGGGAACAGGGTGAGAACCTCAGTGTCAAATCTCATCTCTGAAACTCAATTATGGGGTAAATCCCTTAAATTTCCACTGATTCTCTTGCTCCCAGTGAAGTTTAAAAGGGAGGCATGGGCCAAAAAATCTCAAAGACAGCAGAGGATTTGTGACAAACGGGGGAAGGAGTGCAAGGATGGAATTTCCATGATCAACAGGAATTTTCAGGAGGAGCTAAGAGCTCAGAGGAATGGGTGGGGCAGGAAGCAGCCCCTGGGGAGAGCTGCACTCACACTGTGACTGGGAACACGTTGCTGGCTGCTGTCACAGTCATGCAGGTGCTGAACACAACCTGCTCGCAGTGGCCATGCAGGACACACTCGTCAGAGTTCCAGGCTGCTGGCAGGGTGAAGGTGATGTTTATCTCCTCGTGGGATTCTCTGCCTGTGAGAGAGACACAAGGAAAGCTGGGATTTGGATCACAAAAGTATCTGAGCAACAATTGCTGGGAGAAGGAGAACACACAGATGATGAAGGCAGGAAGCATCACCCTTTGGAGTCAGCCCGGATCTTTGCAGGCAACAAAGAGAGCCAAGAGAAAAGTTAAACCCAAAACAAAGCAGAAAATCCCCCAGCTGCTGCTCTTTCTAATCTCTCCCACCTCTCCCAGCCTCATCAGGCTGCTTTCAGAAATTAAAAACTCTTTCTAAGTGAATTCATGCATGTTCACAGACCTTCATTAGCAAAGCCTGTCTCCTCCTAAGAACTTTGTTCCACATCTGTTTTTTCTGATGCTCACTTTTCAAACTGGAGATATTTGTGTAGAGAAAAAGGTGCCAGCAGATACTGAACTGTGCATTAAGTCCTGTATGGTAACTCCACGTGGAGAAATTCAGACTGAAAACAAATCCAGGCTGCTGCAAATGGAACTTGCATTTGGTAGCTCTCAAAGAAGCAACAAAATAACAACAGAAACCCAGTAATGCACATTTGCAGCTATGGGCAATGTCTCTCCACAGGTTCAAGACCTTCAACGTTATTATAAAATGCAATTCTGGCTGAAAGCTAAAATACAGTGAGGTTCTATTATCAACTCCTATTAATTCTCTATGAACTCCTATCAAAACTCCCTGGCAGGCAGCCAGAGAGCAGATTGGTCTCTGCACACCACAGAAGCCATAATCATCTTATCTGCTGCTGTTTGTGATATTAAAGCTGATTCACTTATGCATTTTAGATAAACTAGAATTTTTCAGGCAACATAATGCTCTCTAGTGCATCTATGCCACATTTGAAATGTCAGTTGAGGACTTGATGGATCAAGACAAAACTGAAGAGAGTCACTGTTTGGAATTTTGCTGGCTTAAAAATGACCTTCCATTGTCATTAGGTTTAATCATTTCAAACTGCCAAGCCTGATCTTGGCACGCCTGCAGGTTCTTTTCCATTTTGAATGCAGGGACAAGTTCCTCTAACAAACAAGAGCTCCATACAGGAATAAACTCAAAATAAATCTGGGAGCACATCTGTGTTCTGTGCAAAAGAGTTATCTCACCCATAGCAAGCTGGTAAATTTTTATTTGATGATATAAGGATTAAAATAATCACTATATAATCAAATTAATAATATCATTAAAATAATATCATTATTTTAAATAAAATAATTATACTATGATAATTTGGAAATAATAAAATAATATCATTATTTGGAATCACAGGATGGTTTGGGTTGGAGGGGGTCTTAAAAACTATCTCATCTTGTTCCACCCCCTGCCATGGGCAGGAACACTTTCCACCAGCCCAGGTTGCTCCAAGCCCTGTCCAACCTGGCCTTGGACACTTTCAGGGATGGGGCAGCCACACTTCTGAGTACTCATCACCCTCACAATAAAGAATTTCTTCCTAATATTTAATCTAAACCTCCTCAGTTTCAGTTTGAAGCCAATCCCCCCATGAAAGGTTAGGAAAAAAAGCAACTGCAACCTGAATTGTTGAAGGTCCGGCCTTGCCTACCTGAAAGTCCAATCTGGTGCCCAAAAATGGTGGAGCTGAGGTGTGTGACATTGCGAGAGTATCCCCCAAAAGGTCTCAGAGGGTCCAGGGTCAGTGTGATGGTGACAGAGATGTTGATGGGACCAGAGTCCTCGAGGGTCTGTGGGGACTGTGTGGAGGACCTGGCCTGCCCGCTGGTCACGGTGCTCTCTGGGGTTGTGGTGTCGTTCAGGAGGTGCTTCAAGGTTTCATTCTCAGATATACAGAAGTCCAAATCATTAAACCTCAGCAGGAAAGTGTTCCAGTCCTTAAAGCAAAAGAGGAGATTTTAAACCCATGAGGGAGCTCCCGCCTCGCCCGGTTCCAGGCCACTGAACTAAAATCACACGGCTCAGAGAGCAGCACAAACAGCAGCAGGGCTGCCTCAACTACAGCAAAGCTGTTTGCACAAGTCAGATGGGTTCAGCCCCAGCTCCCTCCCCTGAGCTGGAAAGGAAACTCAGTCTGTTCACAGAATTCACAGAATCACCAGGTTGGATGAGACCTTAAAGATCATCGAGTCCAAGCCAGCCCCAACCCCTCAGCTAATCCCTGGCACCCAGTGCCACATCCAGGCTTTGTTAAACACACCCAGGGATGGGGACTCCACCACCTCCCCAGGCAGCCATTCCAGAACTTTATCACTCTTTCTGTGAAAAACTTTTCCCTGATATCCAATCTATATTTCCCTTGGTGCAACTTAAGGCTGTGTCTTCTGGTTCTGTCAGTGTTGCCTGGAGAAAGAGCCCAGCCCCACCTGAGCACGGGCACCTTTCAGGAGCTGTAGAGATTAAGGTCACCCCTGAGTCTCCTTTTCTCTAGGCTGAGCACCCCCAGCTCCCTCAGTGGTTCCTCACAGGGTTTGTGTTCCCAGCCCCTCACCACACTCAGGGATGAGCAGTTTCTGCCCAAGTTCAGGACAGTGCTGAGGGAAGAAGTTCCCCACACCAGCTAAATAAACAAACTGAATAACACCTAAATAACAAACTGAAAGGTTCCTAGCCACAGCAGGGAAGATCCGTGACAGATGATTTGGCCTCATCCTTGATATAAAACAACCAACAAACACCCACCCCAACAGCCCTTCTGAAAATAACACGGAGACAATCCCCCACACAACTCTGTGCTCTCTGAGAGGGGAAAAAACCTAACTCTGGGCATGTTTTCCAAATGACTGTAATTTTTGCACATACCTCTGTCATTTCTGGGGATTTGATCTCCTTGATCTTGAAGAAGTAGCCCAGAGTGAGGAAGGCGATGGCCATGGCGCTCACGCTGATCATAAAGACCACGAGCGGAGGGCGGCTGCTGATGTAAACCTTCAGGTTCTCCAACAGGTTTATGTAGAACATTATTCTGATTGTTCACCTGAGGGGAAGGAATGTTCCAACAGAGTCACTGCACTGTGAGTTACAGCTGGGGGGTAGTGGATCACACAGAAGGAGAGAAATGGGATTGTACACAGAACTGGGATTAAATTCCATGGCTGTGCTCTTCACTGAGCACAGAGTGTGTGCTGAAATACAGCAGTGACCAGAACAGCTCCACAGCACCTTCCCAGGGCCTCAAAGTGCCAGCTGGGAACAGCTTTTAAACAATGAGGGCTTCCAGCACAGCCCAGCATCACTGATCAGTAATAAAGCCAGTTCTTGCCTTTGCCCAGGCAGGTATCACTGCTACATCTGAATGCCAGCAATGTCTGAATGCACCAAGGCACAAACCAAACTTTGCACATCCTTTGAAAACTGAGGCTGGAGCTTAAGGATCCCTCTTTACCCCACCCCAAATGCCTCAGTTTTCAAACTTTGCACATCATTTGAAAACTGAGGTTGAAACCTTAACGATCCCTCTTTACCCCACCCCAAATGCTTTTATTTTCAAAGCAGCATCTGAGAAGCAGCCCTACATTATTTAAGGCTTTTGCATCAAGAATCCTATGGGCAGAAACACTCCAAAAACTGCATTAAGGTGGAAGCTGGAACACTCTTGGTCTTTATTTAATTCTTGCAGGATCTAGAACTTTTTGTTCTGTCTGTAAGCATAACCAGGACCTTACATGCTGACAAAATGTCCCATGTCATTAATTTTTGCCCCAAATAAAATATTTTGTCTGATTCCCCTCCTGAATTTTTATCTGCAGAGCAAAAAGACCCAAATTCCTGGATCAGCTTCCCCATCTCCATGCCCAGGGAAATGCAAACAGGAGTTAAAGGGCAGCCTTGTGACATCTCCTTCAGAAGCTCTGCAAGGAGGAACTCCAAGCCCACCTTTATCTTTGTCCTACCTAAAACCCTGGCTGAAAAGGCTTCTAACCCCAACTAAACCTGCTCCTAGCAATGTGCTGCTGATATCCAAAATTCTGAGGGAAAGGCAGAAATAATTCTGTACTGCAAGGGTTAAATTGGAACATCCACAGAGATCTGATAACACTGAATTAAGGCAGGGGCTGCTCCTGCACTTTGGGGTGATTCCCACTGACTGCTATTTCCAATCCAGTGTAGCAGGGCTGAAAAGTGGCAGCTCAGAGGATGAGAGAGGCACAGGGCAGGGCAGGGCAGGGAGGGATCTGTGACCTATTGATTTAAGAGAAAACAAAAGAAGGGTAAAGAACAAGCCTGAAGACAAAGCCCTTTTCAGAGCCCACACAGTACAATGATCCCAACTTCCTTGTGTATACTCAGGGTTTTACTGGCAGGAATGCTTCAGCAGTTCCTGTTAGCAGAAGAAATATTGACAGAACCTGCACAAGTGTCCCAGAGAGGGGAAAATCCAGCTCAGGGAGAAGAGACAGAGGTGCAGTGTCAACAACACAACCCTGGGCTGTGCCTGCTGACTCCCCACTCGCTGTCCTGGCTCAAACCTGCTGAGACAGAGCTCAAGATCTCACCCTGGCTTTATTATTTTGCGCCATCCACCCCTTTCCATCAACCCTGCAAAGCCCAGGAGGTTTTTCTCAGTGAGAAGTGAGGGCTGTGAACACCTCTACAAAGCCAGGGTGAACAGCAGGGAAAGGAGAGGGGTGAGAGGGGAAGAAAAGGTGATGAGAAATGTTCCCCTTACCAGAAGCTCGTCCCAGAGCAGCTGTGGCACGGGCAGGGCGGGTGGCAGAGGGAGCAGGGCCAGGGAAGGGGAGCTGGGCTGGCAGGGATCGTGCTGGGAGCGATCCGCCCTCCTGCACCTCCTGCCTGTCTTGTCCTGGCAGCAAATTCCTTCAAAGAGCCACTGTTAAACACTCCAAATGCTCCATCCAGAGGCAAAATCCCAAATATTCCTTCTGGAAATGTGGGAGACACACGGGGAGATGGAAGGAGATAAAACCTAACCCAAAAGCAGAGTTGTAGGCAGCGTCCCCTCTTGAATTTCCTTGAGGAAATAACACAGCTGCAGAGTTTATTGCAGTTTTAATCAGGGCTCAGTGTCACCCACAGCACATCCAGGGCTGGAATTCCTTTTTTAAAGGGGTTTCCATCAGCTCTATCAGAATTTGTTTGCCACAGGGTCTAAAACCAGCCATAACAAAAAAAAAATAAAACCAAAACAGGGATGTGCTGAAAATCCTACACAGGGAAATATTCAGGCTAATATTTTTATGTAAGAGATCACCAGCTTTTAAGTGCCAGTTGTTTAATATGCTGCCATAACTCAGTGGCTTTGAAAGCAATTAGAAAATGCCATAAGCTGCAATTTCTGAGGAGTAATGTGCCTTTGGAGCATTTGGGAGGGAAAAGGGAACAACTGTGGATTTCAGTGCTGGAGCTGACATGAAAACAGCAGTGGGGGAAAGCACGAGGATGAACGTTGCCATGCTGCTGCCTGAAGAATTACTGATTTTTAATCAAAGTACTTAAATTACTTTGATTGTCACGGAATTTGTGATGCAGATCAGTGCATCACATCAAAGTGTCTGTGGATTTTCAAGGTTCCTCAAACTCCTCTCTGTCAGAATCACAAAGCATCACAACTCTTCTGCCAGCTCTAGTAACTAACTTCCTCCTCTGTGTAAATGAATAACTTCAAGAATATCATTTAAACTTTTATTTCTTGTTCACAGAGTTAAAAAAATAAAATAAAAAAAAAAACAAACCAAAACAAAACAATGCTTTTACCTCCTGGCAGGTCAGGCATGCAAGATCAGATTTCACTTTTTAGCCAAATAAATAATTTAGTGAGTGGCTCTAATGACTGCTGCTGCCTCTCTGCACTCCAGCAAAGCCTTTTAATACTTGGTGCAATAAAAATCTCCCCAGTCAGACTAAACAAGGAGCTCAAGAATGAAAACTGCCAGGCTGGAACATTGGCCAGCAGCTCCAAGGTAATTGCTGGGCATGAGGGATGTTCAGCAGGAGTTACAGCTCACCAGGAAAGCTGGAGATGTTGTGCTCTTAAATCAGCATCCACAAACCCAGGCAGGCAAAAAGATTAAAATGGTAAAGGGGGAAATACAGCAGTTTAATCTGTCAGAGTACCAGAGAAACACAGAATTAAAAATATTCTATATTTTGGGGAGATTTCCTCCAAAACAGCTCCTGACAGCAATCTCAAAGGAGCAACAATGTGAATTCCTCTTTATTTGTGGGTGAAAGAGTGTGGAAGAGGAAGCTGCTGAAATAAGACTGATGAGTTTTTCAAGGCTAAATTGCAAACAAGGAAAATCTTCAAGTCTATTGCAAAGACCAAAAAGTCAATGCACAATGAGTCACAGCTGAAATATTAAATTCCCATTTGGAGGTTTAATATCAAAGGAGCTGAATTCCTAAGAACAATAAAAACCCCATATGCTGCACTAAAGCAGGTATTGAAAGCAAAACTGCACTTACCAACATGAAAAAACCCAAAACCAAACATGAATTTTAAAGAGATCAAAGAGGTTTGACATTTTTGTCAATAATGTCATCCACCTCCCTGCCACTGGAAAGCTTAAAATGATGGAATTTCCTCACAGATATTTCCCCTTCTTGTTGTGAGGGCAAGGGAATCACTCTAGAGGGGTTTAAATGGGAAATCACCACTGAAATATCCTAAGGAGGAAAATTGGGTGAAGGAGAAGGGCAGGAGGCAGCAATGCCTGTCCCAGGATCTCACAAGTTTTTCAGTTTTCAGCATCTCATTGCACAGAACAGTGTTTAAAGAGCTGTGCAGCTCAAAAAAATAAATAAATTGTATTTTCACTACCAGGAGGGGTTAGGAAATGGGTCAGCTCAGGGTGAACCACTTTATGTTGTGTGCCAAAGGAATATTTACAAATACAAACCAAACAAACCATGGGAAAGCAGCCACAAATAAATGCAAACAAAGCAGTGTTCACCTCAAACACCTTTAACAACAATAAACAGGTACCAAAATCAGCTTTCATTTGGATTTCTTCTCTTCAAATTAATATCTAAGAGTGAAAACAAAGCAAAATAAAAATCAGAGTTGGGTGAGCTGATGGGGCTGGTGCTGTTCAGCATCTTGGGGGTGACAGGGACGTGGGGACAAGCTTGGCAGTGACACCAAAGGCAGTGACAGGATCTGGACAGGCTGGGGAGTGGCTCTGGGACAATCTGATGAGGTTCAAGACCAAGTGTAAGGAAAATAATTCAGCATCCTGATATCTGGGGGAAATAGAGGTGTTAGGACCTGCAGCAACTCCAGATCATCTTTTTAGGAGTGGGATGAAATGGCACAGCCCAAAACCTTCCCCAGCAGCAGCAGGGCAGGCAGGAGGGAGGAATTTATCCTGCAGGAATCCCCCAGGGCACAGCAGCACCTCCTGCATGAACAAAATAACCCAAACCCAAACAACTCCCAGGAAATGGCAGCAGTTTCTCCTCAGCACACAGGGAGGGAGGGAAGCAATGTGGAGGAGGAAACTCCACAAAAACATCACCTTGGGTCCTTGAATGCAACCCAACATAACCCAGGAGCAGCAGCTGTGCACAAACACATCTGCTCCACTGGGAGATAACGGGAATTGGCTCCAGTTTCTTATCAGTTTGCTGAGCTATTTTATCCACAAATATGTTTACTGAGAAAAAAAACTCCACATTTTTCCAAAAAAGTCCAATTTTCCTGCAGCCTGGAAGCTGAAAGTGGCAGGAAATGGGTTTGGAATGCTCTGCACAGGGCAGGGGGAGAACAGCACCTGGAAATATGGAAAAGGACATTCCTCCCTCCTGATAAAGGATCAGGATGCAGAATATGAACAAAAATCAGGGACTTGCATGAATTGAAAGAAGCAAATGCTTCATATTTGCATGAAATGTTTCTTTTCACCTCTCAAAACACTTTTCAAAGATTAATTAATCATTTCAGCATCTCCAAGAGGGGCACCAACAGCAAACACTTCAGCTCTGCCCACGAAACAAAGCCAAGGAAGGGAAGTAATTTGGAAAATTTTAAAGATCAAATTTAGACAGAATTTCAAACACCCAAATTTCTGACTTCAACTCTCTATAAAGACAGAAAACTTGAAAAAAAATGATGTAAAAAACTAAAAAGGAAAACAAACATTACTCAATCTGTGTGTGACAGCCCTTCCCAACAGACTTGTGTTGTTCACAAAGTCTGGTGGGTTCACCACAAGCACCTGAACTTTGTGCCAGCTGATGCTCTGGGGACAGCAAAGTTCATTTCCATTTCCCACTGGAAGAAAAATTCGTGCAGAAACAGACAAATCCAAACAAGTTCCAAGTATTTTTTGTATGTTCTCAGTTCTTAAAATGATGAATGAGAAAAGGCAAGGAAAGTTACAAGTCAGGAAGCAGCAACAGAGTGAGGAAGCTTTTTTCCTGTGGTTCAATGAACTCTGAATTCTGACTTTTGTTAGAAATGAAAAACATAATTTAAAACATACCCAGCTGTAAAATCAAAATGAACTCAACCTCTGGTTGAAAATCAGACATTTTGGTGCCAAACTTGAAGCAGGCACCTCTGTCTGCCAAGAGCCTGTGCCATGGGAATGGATCCACTTCCAGCTAAAAGAGCTCATGGGCATCTTTAAACCTTCCAGCTTGTCCAAGTCATGACTTCCAACGTGAGTTACCACAACCCAAATCACCCAGACTGCAATAAAACACACAATTATAGATGAAGGACTTTGGATTTGTATTAAAAATGCTACTCTGGTTACTGCTGCTCAGCATGAGAACCTGGCAGAGGAAAGGAAAAATGAAATTATTCCATTCCACAGGACCTTTAAAGATCCGTGAGAAATCAAAAAATACAGGATGGCTTTAATGAAGAAGTGTGCAAATTCTCAGTAACTGTTCAATAATCACAAACTGGTCGAGTGACCAGTTCAAGGTTAATTGTTGACTTCATTAAAGCTGCTCATTAAGGAATGTGGGACCCAATTCAGCAGTGAAAGAGCAGAGAAATGCCAGGAAAAGGCTCTTCAGGCTGTAATGAGAACTGTGAGGAGACAGGGATGCAGACAGATACACAGCTTGAATCACAAGCAGAAAAATGACTGACAAGCTGAGGAAATGGCAGCTTTGGGGAATGGCAAATTGAGAGTTTGGGTGTGGAAAGAAGGGAGAGAAGCAGCAAAACAGCCAGTGGCCACTGATGGAAACAGAAACAGCAGCAAAACCAAGTGAAACGAGGGAGCTGGGACACAGCTGAGATATCAAAGCTGTGGCTGGAATATTCTCATGTCTGCGCTTCACCCCCACTGCTAAGAGCAAACAGGATCTGAACCTGCCCAGCCCCAGCTGGGGGAGTTCAATCTCCATTTTACAGATTAACAGACCCCCAATGCCAGCACACACAGAGATTTCCATCCAAAACAAAGCCTGGGACTTCTGAGCCCTGGGAACCTGCTTTATTCACAGGTCAGGACAGTCTTAGGAAGAAAATTAATTCCCACTCAGCCATGCTTTGGGTAAGGGGAGGTTTGGGAAAAACAACACAATCCTGACACCAGCCAAGTTTCATTAATAGTTCAGGGCTAGACTGATAAAACAGCTTCATTTCCACAAATAAAGCCTGTGCTGTTATTTAACAAAACTCAGATTATCCCAGCTGCCAGACCTGCAGATCAGCTCAGGGAATGCTCCAGGAGGGTCAGGCTGTGCCAGGCTCTGTCCCTCTGTCCCCAGCTCACAAAGGACACCCGGCTCTGTCCGTCCCTCAGCCGGGCCCTCCCAGAGCACAGGGACTATTCTGTTCTCTCAGGTGACCTTTCAAGCTCTTGTCTTTCAAGCGGAAAAGAAGAATCACATTCCAGCAGAGCCACTCCTCAAATCAGGGCAGGTAACAAAGCCACCGGGGTTTAATCCTGCCCGGTGGGCCGGGCTCGGGGAGCGATCTGCGGCCACAATTGAGGATTATTTGTGCTGGGGCTGCCTCAGGAGCTGTCCCAGGGCTGAGCACACCGGCGGGGAGGAGCTGCAGCCACCGGGATGCTCCGGGCAGGGAAGGGAAGGGCAGCACTCCCCGTGAAACCCGAGCCCTGGTCCTGCCCTGGGGCTCTGGGATTCATCGGGAGCCTTTCCTGTAACTCAGCCCTCGGAATAAAACGCAATAATCATTTACCACAACAGCCAGACCTGGGTTTTTTATCTCCACCACAGCGGCCAAACTTCGGGGAAGTTCAGCGAGGATGGGGAGAGCAGAGCAAACCTTAATTACTGAATCCTCATCTGCCCTCCAGGCAAATTCACCCCGATAATTCCCTCTCCAGAGCTAATCCTGGAAATAAATCTCCCCCAAAGACAAAGCCTTAAAGAGCAAACAAAGGGAAAATGGGGAAAAATAAAATCCCAGCTGTGCTGGAATGGGTTTTTCTCCCAGGGTGATTGGGATGTAACGGCGGGGATGGAGCAGCCATGTTCCAGGCATGATGCACCAGAAATTTTTTTATTAAAACCATCAGGAGATCAAAAGTCAAGTTAAACCCTCCCAAAAAAGTGAAAGATGATGAAATATAGGTGTACAGAAAATTGGGGAAAACATCCCAAAACAACCACACAAAACGCCCCACGCAGGAGCCACCGTTCAAAGGCTATTTTGAAGCACAACTATTTTTAGTGCTACAGAAATTATTCTTTTTCACCGTTGTTTTTTTTTTTTTCCTGCTACGACGCCACGCTCACAAACTTCAAGCTGCCGACCTTTCCCAACAGAATTTTACATGGAAATAACAAAAATAAACCGAGGCAAAACCCCCAGCAGAGGCAAGCCGGGGCCCGGGACAGCGCGGCCCGAGGCTCCCGGGGGCTCTCCCGGCGCTCCCGGTACCGGAGCGGCCTCACCCGGCCCCATCCCCCGGCTCCATCCCCCGGCAGGCCGGGCCCAGAGCCGCCCCCGTCCGCTCCTTACCGGCGTCCGCGGCGGGGCTCAGGCCCCCGGGCCGGGCGGGGCTCAGAGGCGGCGGCGCTGCCGTGCGGGCGGGCTCTGCACCATGGTCCTGCCCTGCCGGGGCTGCGGGCACGGGCGGACGGGCGGCGGGCGGGGGGAGAGGCCGCTCCCCGGGCAGGGCAGCCCCGGGCCGGACACACGGACAGGCCCCGGCACCGGGCCCCGCCTCCGCCGCCGCTTCCGGGCCGCAGCCCTGACCCCTCACCCGCCGACGGTGGCGCGGGGGGGACAAGATTGAGGCGGCGCCGGCAGCGCGGGAGGAGCCGGGAACGGAACCGGGAACATCACCAGGAACGGAAACGGGAACAGAACCGGGAACGGAACTGGGAATGGAACCGGGAATGGGCCCGGGAACAGCATCGGGAACAGAACCGGGAACGGCACCGGGCCCTCACGGCGCGCTCGCCCCGGCCCCGCGCTCCCTGCTCCAGCCTCCCTCACGATGTTCCCGCCTTCCCCCTCCCCTTTTCCTCTAAAAATTATCCCCAAACATCTTTTTTTTTAATATTTCCTAACATAAATACCTATACTGATACCTATTCCAATACCTAAAATTGTTCAGGCTTAAATCCTTAAAGCAAATAAAATTTATCGTGATAAATAAGAATACCATTGTTTTATATTACACTATTATAATTATTAATAATCTATACTATTAATGTATTATTAATTATTAATAATGTAATACTAATTATTAATAATTAGTATTATTAATGGTAATACTATGGCGATATTTCCACGAGGATAATGTGGGCTCTGGTGGAGCTGTTTACTGTCCCTGACAGCTGGGTAAGCTGGGAGAAAACCTTCCCTAAATATTCTGCATTAAAATAAATTAATTATTAAAAATAAATTAGTAATTCTGCATTAAAATATTTGGGTGAAAATATTCCCTAAAAATGCTTTGGGAATGTAAAACTCCAGCAGTCCCATGAGGATCTATCTGAATGGTCAAACTCCAAAATGACAGCACTGAATTAATGAGTGATAATCACAATTAATGACTCCAGCATTTCCTGTAAAATATCTTCCTTACCAAAGGAAATAAATGCAGGAGTTCCCATGCAAAGAAATATTTTACAATAAAAGATCCAACCTGAGGAGCTGCAGAGTCTTTATTTTCAGTGATAATGAGCTAACAGCAGGAAAAATAAAGCAAATTTCTGATACTGTGACAGTGGGCACAGCACTTGTATTTTATATCACTTTAAGGGATGATATTTCCATTTAAATCACTTTAAGGAATAATATTTTCATTAAAGTCTCTGCTTTGCTGGTTTTTGCAGCATTGGGGTCTCACCCAAACATTCTGAGTGCCTCTGTGCTCCAGCCCTGCTCAGGGATTACTCCAGGTGTGGAAATCCATTTTTCCTGACTAATTTACTCAAATTTTGAGTCAATTTTTCAAACTTACTCAAATCAAATTTACTCAAATTGTATCAAGCCCACCTTTCCTGCCTAATTTACTCCAAACATCCCCACTTTGGTGCCTTAATTACAAGATGGCACATGAAAAAAAAGAGATATTTTAGTCACAAAATCCTTCCCAAATGCTGCATCACTCGAATGACTTCTCTGCAAAGAAAATAAAAATAAACATTGGTACCCAGCCTAGAACTTGCAGGGCACTTGAGAATTGATGGAAATAGAAAGAGATATTTGAAATTGATAAGAAATTGGTGGAGATTCTCCCAACTCAGAGGATGCAGGAGCAGCCATGAATCCTTCATGGAATAACAAAAGGTGAGGAGGGGTTTAGGGACTCATTAACCAGGGCAGAACTTTTATTTAAACACTCTCATTTACACAACAGCTGCAGGTTTGCTTCCCCCACCCCCCCCCGGGGACAAACCTGGAGATCAGAATCAGCAGCTAAATAAAAGAAATAAATCCCAGGATTATTTACTAAGCGATTTGGGTGGTGACACACGGAATAATTTGATTTTTTTGTTGTTGTTTTGAGCACCCCAGTGCTGCAGCTGCTTCTGTGGACACCAGGGGTGGTGCATAGTTCATAAAAAGGCCAAAAATGCCAGAAAAAGGGAGAAATCACAGTCGTGGTCTGAAGTTATTGCAGTGCAGATTCAACAGGAGCCTCAGTGAATGGGAATGAAGCACCAGGTTTGTGTTTTCCTCCTCATGGCAAGAATTAAACCTGGCTTAAAAGCAGCTCCAGCTGAGCTTTGTGTTTGGGATCTCAGGAGCTGCAAGAGATTTCAAATTGACACAGAAAAAGTTTCCAAGTTCTGTTTAAGAAGTTGTTGTTTGTGGGGTGAGCTCCTCTTTTTCACCCCAATCTGAATTTTAGTGATTTTTAGTGTCACAAAAAGCCATTCAAGGTGCTGAAGGGGTCACTGAAGAGCAGAAGGTTGATGTTTCATGGAAATAAAGTGCATTTTTCTGCTCCTTCTAAAAAGCAACCTCAAATTATATTTATTTATTTATTTATTTATTTTCCCCAGGATTGTCAAAAAAGCAACCAAAATTCATCCCACTGATGGAAGTGACCTGGAGAGAGAGAGACACTTTTGGAGCAACTCTTTCATGGTCTCTTTCCTCTCCCCTTTTTTGTTCCACATTCTGCAGTTTTTAATACAAATATCTCCTCCTATTCCTGAAGTATTTTCAATTTCTGGCCCCCACACAGTAAAATCAGCACTTTGTGCACCACTCAAGGCTACCAGGTGTTCTGACAGAGCATTTAAATGAAGAAATGGCATCTTTTAAATAATTTTTTTTTAACAAAGCAGATTAAGATGATTTTTCAAGCTTGCAAAGCACTCCAATTTCTCCCCTCCAGGTTATCCAAACTCCAACAGCATTTTTGCCTTTTTACTGCAACATGGTGGAACTGAAAGGTGCTAAAATGAATATGTTGAGATCATTTTCACTCACACACGAGCTCATGCACAGTTGGGACATTAGATTTGAAATCTATTTACAATTTTACATATTTTACAATATATAATTCATCTTTACAGCTACAGAATAAGTTCAGACTAACACTGGTATTTTTTTTTTCTGCTGGAACTTGGCTTCAAGTTAAACTGATTATTAAAAACAATTAAGTGCATGCTTAGAAGGGAACTTTCAGGATGTCAATGGACTAGTGTTGCTTAAAAATTACACCAGTTTGTGTAGAAAATCGAAATTCAGTTCAAAAAACCCACCAAAGCCTAATAGAAACCTACAGGACTAAAATAAATACAATTCATTCCACTTAACCAAAAAAAAAAAACAAAAAAAACCAAACCCCAAACCAAAAGTACCTTTAAAAATGTACTGATTTAGGCTCTTTAAGATTTAAATTTCCTTTCCTTCCCAGCTAGCTGAGGAGAATTATCCTGCATAGACCTGAGGCTGCAGGGGTGGGGGCAGCTTGTCATTCTCCACATTTTCAGAGTCAATGGCTGCTAAGGCTTGGCTTTTTGCTTTGATTTCTAAGGGATATTTCTCCACAATATCCTCCACCTCCTTGGTGATGCCATCAGTCCAATCAATGAGGTCTTTCTCCAATTTCTTGGCTTCACTGACAATTCTTTCCTGTCTCTCATTCAACTGAGAGAGGAGGTCTAAGCTTTTGCACATCTGCTTCACCCCCAGGCACACATCTGGGGAGAAGCTGTCAGATTCCTGCTTTTTTGGGGAGGTCTGGCCACTCATGAAACGATCAAAATCTTCCTGGCTCAGGTTTAGGGACTGAGCATCCAGTTTTTCAATGAAGGCCACAGCACAGCACTGCAAACAAAGCACAGAGAGCATCACTGCAAGGCTGCAATCAGCACACACTGCAAGGTTTTACAGTCAGAAAATGTTTTACACTTTTTACACTGTTTTACAAAGGGAAAGGAAAGGGGGAAAAGGGAAAGAAAGGGGGAAAAGGGAAAGAAAGGGGGAAAAAGGAAAGGGGGAAAAAGGAAAGGGGGAAAAAGGAAAGGGGGAAAAAGGAAAGGGGGAAAAAGGAAAGGGGGAAAAAGGAGAGGGGGAAAAAGGAGAGGGGGAAAAAGGAGAGGGGGGAAAAGGGAAAGGGGGAAAAAGGAAAGGGGGAAAAAGGAAAGGGGGAAAAAGGAAAGGGGGAAAAAGGAAAGGGGGGAAAAGGAAAGGGGGGAAAAGGAACGGGGGGAAAAGGAAAGCGGGAAAATATACAGTATAATACAGAAAATGTTTTCTACATTTACAGAAAATGTTACAACATTTACTATTCCTTTCCCTCTTCTTACACCAGCAACTAATTGTTGGTGGAATTTACATTTACACACTGGAATTTACATTTACACACTGGAATTTCTGTTAATGAATTGGAATTTAGGTTTACACATTGGAATTTCTATTTACAAACTGGAATTCAGGCTTACACATTGGAATTTATATTCATGAACTGGAATTCAGGTTTACACACTGGAATTCAGCTTTACACGCTGGAATTCAGCTTTACACATTGCAATTCAGCTTTACACACTGCAATTCAGCTTTACACACTGCAATTCAGCTTTACACACTGCAATTCATATTGATGAATTGGAGTTTAGATTTACAAATTGGAATTTAGATTTACGAATTGGAACTTAGGTTTACGAATGTGAATTTATATTTATGAAAACTGAATTTATGCCCTTTGCTGGCAACTCCTACCTCCAGCTAAAAGCCCAACCTTGCTGTCCAAGCCCACTCACCAGGTTGGTGAAATAATATCCATCCTCCCCAGTCATCAGCCTGCTGGGGTTGCAGAAGCGAGTGATGTACTGGATGTTGGACTGCAGCCGTGGGGGGTTCCCCTTAAGCACGATGTAAATCAGGGTGGGCAGGAAATCATCAGCAGAGGCTGGCTCATTTTTGGTGATTTTGATGGCATTGAAGATGTGCTTGCTGCACTTGGTGATGCAGGCCAGCTTGTCCCGAGGGACACGCTTGGAGTCCATCTCAATGATGTCTGGAAGGGGGAAAAAAAAATCCTGGAATTATTTAAATTGTAATGATCAGGCAATGAATAAGCAGGATTTGGTGGGTGGTATTCAGGGAAATAAAGTGCATTTTTCTGCTCCTGATCATTCTAAAAAGCAAGCTCAAAGTATATGAATTAATTTAAAGTTATATGCATTAGTTTTAAAATATGCAAGTTGATTTAAAACTGGGGGATTTCACTCCAAAAAACCTGGGGGATTTCACTCCAAAAAACCTGGGGGGTTTCACTCCAAAAACACTGGGGGATTTCACTCCAAAAAACCTGGGGGATTTCACTCCAAAAAACCTCGGGGATTTCACTCAAAACCACTGGGGGATTCCACTCAAAAACACTGGGGGATTTCACTTAAAACTACACTAATTTATTTAAAATAGCATCAATTTACTTAAAGGTTTTAATTTATTTTAAATTAAATTATAGCAATTTATTTTTAAATTATATTAATTTATTTTAAATTACATGAAATTTTAAAAAATTAATTTATTGCATCATTTATTGCATTTATTGCCTCATTTCAGTCTGTGGGGAAGTGTTTTAAGCAGATCAGTTAATTCTAAGCACTTCAGTGTGGAAATTATCCCTGCTCCACAGCTGAAATTCCACACTCCAGCACATTTAACAGACCCACCTTGTGATGACAGCAAAAATCATCTCAATAAGGAAGAGAAGTGAAATTGAAATCTGTAAATACAGAATTGATCACTCACAAACCTGTGATTGCCTTTACAACCATGTCAGAGACCTCTGGGATCTCCTCACTGACAGGAACACAGAGCATCTGGGGAGTCACCCAGTGCAGAGCCCTGCAACAGGAGAAACAGGAGTTGAGGGTTAAGGAGTGAAGGTAAAAAGGAGAAAAAAGGGTTAAAAAACTCTCAGTGCCACTCACAGACAGGGGTTTGAAACCTGAACTCAGGGCAAAGGAATGCTTTGTGTCACTGAGCCATTATTCCAGCCACAAACCAGTTTATTCCACTGATGTCATTTATTTTCACAGAAAGCACTTCGTTTTTTTAATAATTATTTTTGGCAGTGATTTAATAAAAGTAAATTTTCCCAGTGTGGTAGTTGTCATTATCCCACCTATTCATTCTTTCTGTATTTTAAATAAAAAGCTTTGAACCCTTAACAAGCCATTTTTCTGTGCACAGCACAAAGTTTTTAGCATGGTTGATTCAGAGCTCATTAGAGAATTAGGAATTACTCAATTAATTTTCCTTTCAAGCCCTACCTGATCCTCTTTTGGACAGCAAGGTCTTTCTTCTCATCATCAGTTGTCTCAGGGCAAAAAACATATTTATACTGGCGAGTCATGATGTATTTCTCAACCTCATCCATTGCCTTCTCCACTTTTTCAGGGGGTACTGAAAGGAACAAACCCCACAAATTAAATATTCCAGGGCTCTTTGCAAGGTTTAATCCCAATATCAGCAAATTAAGATTATTCATTCAAGGCAACCTGAGTTCATAAATGGATATAATACATCCATTATAAGAGATATATATAATAAGAAATATGTGTGTGTGTATATATATCTATAGTAAGAATTATAAGACATATAAATTATTAGAAATTTAATAAAATATAATACAATAAAGATAATAAATAAAATTGAAAATTAAAAATGAAAAAATTTTAAAATTAAAGGGAAAAGGGAAAGGGAAAAGGGAAAAGGGAAAAGGAAAAGGGAAAAGGGAAAAGGAAAAGGGAAAAGGAAAAGGGAAAGGGAAAAGGGAAAAGGGAAAAGGAAAAGGGAAAAGGAAAAGGGAAAAGGAAAAAGGAAAAGGGAAAGGAAAAGGAAAAGGCATTTCTGAAGCTTTTCTTGCACTGAAAATTCAATTTAGTTTTACATCACTGCTTTTGGAAGAGGAAGGTGAAAGAACCTGGTACCTTTCCAACGTGTCTGCAGCCTGTCTGCCACATTTTGGTAAAAGTCCTGGGCACACTCAGATTGTTCCTCAATGCTCAAATCCTGCAGGAGAACAGAACAAGGAATAAGTGTGAAGGGCTGGCAGCAAACCTCGTGTTTTGGTTTGGTTTAAGGCAATTGTCCAGCTGCAGTAACAGTCTGAGAATGCAGAGGTGTCATCAGGGGTGTTTAGAGTGGCTCAGTTTTAGTTACAAACAGGAGAAGCCAACACTGGCTCTTTAATGTGTGAAAAATAAATGGATATTAGCACAGGTGCAATGGCTTTTCCCTCTGGGAGCACTGACAGAATAACTCAGACTAAACAAAATGTTTGTCCCTATTTAACCCCTGATTCTTTAAAATTCATAATCTATAAAACCCCCAATAACATAAATTATTTGAAATAATATCTCTCCAGCACATTTCTGATGATAAAGTTACTGTGAAATATTTCACAGTGGTATTTGTGAAACAACACTGGCCTTTGCTAACTGAGCACCAGACGAACATAAAATTAACTTAATTAAGGCAATTTTCATCATTAAATGAAACCATACATTAAAAAAAGTGAGGGAACAATTTGATTTCTGAATTCTCTAAGGCAAAAAACTGGACATTTCCTGAACACAGGTCTCAGCTCTTACTGAAAATGGATTTAGGCCTGGTTTATGAGTAGTAAAAAAAAATCGCAAATTTGGGAAGGCTGAAGTAGGAAATGAGAACTCAAATATAAACCCACTCTGTTCTCACAAACTCTGTGCTCAGAATAAACAGATCCAAAAGAAAGGAAATAAAAGTTCAAGAAGAATTCAAAACTGAGGGAATGTAAGATTCCATGAGAACTCAGGAGATAATTTGAGGAACTAAATAGGGAAGGGAGAAGAAGAGGGGAAAAAAAGCTGTGCTGAATTCTAACTCATTCCAACCATAGGTGGCACCACAGACTAATATTTTAAGAATATTGATTTTTTTTAATGGAAAATGAAGATAACACTTATTTAATATTAAAAACAAGCAGCACAGTGAAGGATATAAAAGGAGAGGGAGATGCTGAATTATCTTTAGAAGTTTTTAGGCTTAATTTGTGTCACCCCTGAAGTGTCCCAGGCCAGGCTGGGCTTTGGAGCCACCTGGCACTGTGGAAGGTGTCCCTGCCCATGAACCAGATCATCTTTAATTCCTTTCAACCCAAACCACCCTGTGAGATCTAAAACCTCACCAGGTGATATCTTAGATCATTTCCACAATCATATTAATGTAGAATATTGCTGGACAGACCCATTTATGTGGGATTTAGTCAGGACTCATTTATCTGGGCTGCTCTGGGGTTAGCAGCATCCTTTGGTCCCACACCACCAAGAAAAGGCACCCAGATCTTATTTTGATTAATCTGAAGGCTCCTGCCCCGCTCCAGAAAATCCAAACTGCTGGAAGAAGAGCAGCATTTCCTCCCTCTCCCAAATGTCCCCATTTTATTGAGACAAGACCATTCAGAGCTCACCCTTTTGTGGCTCATGGTGTCCAAGAAGAGTTTGCATTGCTTGTAGATGTCCTGGCCAGGCTTCTGGTAGGTCCTGATGAACTCGATGAACTCCTTGGACACTCTGTCTGTCTCGATGCTGGCCTGCCTGTGGATGGCAGGGCTGGGAGCCTTGGCCTCCTGGAGCTCTGCTGCCAAAATTCAGGGCACACAGATCAGGTTTTTTACACGGATGGATGAGTTCAGAAAGAATTTATCATTTTGAGTCACTTTTTATATTAATTATATTAATTTAATATATTAAATTCTAATATATTCTATATTAAATTCTATATTTTTTACCTTTTTTTACACTGATGGATAATTGCAGAAAGGTTTTATCATTTCGAGTCACTTTTTATATTAATTATATTAATTTAATATATTAAATTATTATAATTATATTTTTACATAAATATAATATATTAATATAATATATTAATATAATTATATTAATTTAACATATTAAATTCTATTATATTCTATACTAAATTCTCTATTTTTTGCAGTTTTTTACACTGATGGATAAGTTCAGAAAGATTTTATCATTTTGAGTCACTTTTTAGATTAACTATATTAATTTAATATATTATTATATTTAAATTATTAAATAAATATATCAATATATGAAATTAATATAATTATATTAATTTAACATATTAAATTCCATTACATTCGATAGTAAATTCTATATTTTTAGTTTTTTTACACTGATGGATAATTGTAGAGAGGTTTTATCATTTCCCGTCACTTTTGACATTAGTTATATTAATTTAATATATTCAATTATATATATATATATAATTTATATTAATTTAATATATTAAATTCTACTGTATACTATATTAAATTCTATATTTTTTACCTTTTTTACACTGATGGATACTTGCAGAAAGGTTTTATCATTTCAAGTCACTTTTTATATTATATTAATGCAATAGAGTAAATTAATTAAATTAATAATATAATTAATTATATTAATATATCAAATTCTATCATATTCTATATTAAATTCTATAATTTTTACAGTTTTTTTACAGTTTTTTGAGACTGATGGATCATTACAGAAAGGTTTTATAATTTCCAGTCACTTTTAATAATAATTATATTAATGCAATTTATTAAATTAATATAATTAATTATATTAATTTAATATATTAAATTCTATTATATTCTATATTAAATTCTATATTTTTACAGTTTTTTACAGTTTTTTTACACTGATGGATAATTGCAGAAAGGTTTTATAATTTCGGGTCACTTTTAATATCAATAATATTAATTTAATATATTAATTTAATATAATTAATTATATTAATTTAATATATTAAATTAATATATTACATTAAGATATTAAAATAATATAATTAATAATATTAATTTAATATATTAAATTCAGTATTTTTCAGTTTTTACACTGATGGATAATTGCAGAAAAGTTTTATAATTTCCAGTCACTTTAAATATTAATTATATTAATTTATTAATTTAATATATTAAATATATTAAATTCTATTATATTCTATATTAAATTCTTTATTTTTTACGGTTTTTCTACAGTTTTTTGACACTGATGGATAATTGCAGAAAGGCTTTATCATTTCCAGTCACTTTTTTAACAAAAATTTTTTCAGCTGTACAAATTGGTCATTTGTAGTTGTGTAAATGTAAATTGTAAATGAGGAATTGTGTAAATTGTATTTCTCAAGATTTGCCAGGGAAATGTTGGATGCAACAATAACAGTAACAATAATAAATATATAATGATTATAATAACAATAATGACATAAATTATAATGCTTTTCAATAGTAATAGTAATGGTAATAGTAATGGTAATAGTAATGGTAATAGTAATGGTAATAGTAATGGTAATAGTAATGGTAATGGTAATGGTGGTAATGGTAGTGGTAATGGTGGTAATCGTAGTGGTAATAGTAGTAATGGTAATAATAGTAATAATGCTTTTCCCACAAAATAATCTGATTTTCCAAGTTCCAAGCTCACTGTGCTGCTGCAGTACCTTCACCCACCTTTCAGCTTGCCAGCCAGTGCTGTAGGAAATGGAGGGATTGAACAGAGGTGGTGGAAATGAACGTGGTGAGAGGCAAGCAGAGAGACAGAAAACATGAAAATATTCATGGTCAGCACAGACAAACAGGGCTTTAACCTGAAACCACCTCACATGCACAGAAATGCTGCTTCCAACAAGCATGCACAATCCAAAGGGGAAAGAAAGAAAGGGGATTGAGGTGTTGAAGTTGGTTTGATTTGGATTTGAGGGAGCTCAGTGGGGTTTTTTTGGTTGTTCTGTGTTTCTGAAGAGATCAAGCACTACAGAAAATCCAAAGTTGTGCCACCCAGGGAGCTCCAAATTCCTCTGAGCAGAGCCCACAGCTCAGCACAGGGAGTGACTTGGGCAGGCACCACCAGAACTGGAGAGGTTATGCAAATATTGAAATTTCAACTGCAGCAATTGAGATAGAGAGTGCAAACCCAACTCCTTTCTACTCAGGGACATTTTCCAGAGGGGATTTCCTTCCATTGCCTTTACAATTCACTCCATGCACCCCAAATCCTCCACAGGATTCCAGCTGAAGGGTGGCCATTAATTAAATTTGTCATTAGAGAAGCACAAAGCTTATTTGGAAATAATGAACAAAGAAAAGGGCAGATTTATCAGCTATTTCTTCCATGATTAATCACTGATCTCATTTCACAGCACAGCTGAAGGTTTATTTACTTACTTCAACAATGAGTTCACTCTTATATAAAAATAATGAGCCTCATTTTACTGTATGACCTTAAGGAATGTGAATATTATTTTTTCAGTCACAAATTCAAACTAGATTGCTGTTCAGTTATAGAGAGATGTAGTCAACTGAGGCAGACAATATTAAGGATTAAAAAGTGAATGTTAATTAGAATGAACTGTCTTTTAGTGAGTTACACCAAGAATTATTGTAGTTGCAGATTCTCTAATCTCTGAGCTGAAATCCTGTTTTAAGGAAAATTAATCTGTACTGATTACCAAGGGCTGCAGGAACAAATGAACTTCCAGCAATAAAATATCCTCAGGTTTGTCCTGTGTTCTCAGAGAATTCAATCCAACTACAAAGAAGCTGATCACAGCCAAGAAATTCCAACAAGTTAAAGAGAGGAAAATGCCAAAATGCCAGGAGCAAGCATGGGAAGAGCGAAGGAAGGATCAGCTTCACAAAAATAAACATAATGAATATTTCACTCTTTCTAGAGGAAAGCCACTTGTCACAGCAGACCAGGAGCACTCCAGGATTCACTATGGTTGTGCCATGGAGTCCAAGCTTGGATGTGGGACAGGGATTGTCCCCAGCTCTGTCACACCTTCATCACCTTCCTGGAATCATTAATGAACATTGCACATTTCTTTAGCCAGCAGGACGAGTCAGGATTGCAAACAATTCACGGAGGAGGAGCTCTTAAAGCTGTTTGGTGTCCTTTTGGTTTAAGTGAAATCAGTGTCTCCTCTTGATGGGAATTTTTCTTCTTGGTTTATATAACAAATATCTGGAGATGTTTTGAGAATGCCAAAGTTCTTGAAGTGGTTTCAACTCATAATAATCAGATTTGTAACAGCAACCTGATTTTTTTTTTAAATAAAAACACAAAGCAGCACAAGATCCAGCTAATTCTTACAAAACTCTTGTTTTGTTGATCCTAATCCTGAAGTGGAGCTCAAAGAAGCTTCAGCTTTACACTTGTGGCTCCCTTCTTAAAAGCAAAGGATTGGTTTAGAGATTCAACACCACCTCAGGATGCTGGACTTGCTTTTTTTTGCCATCTTCATGTCGAAGAGCACGAGTTACAACTGGCACAACCCTAGTTTGTGTTTAGCAAAGCCCAACTAAGAGCCAAGCTTACTAAAACCAGGCAGACAGCTCGCCCAGGCTGTGCTGCATTACCTTCAGAAGGGGAAGCCAGTTCCCAGGAGGGAGTAAAAATCTCCTTCAAATCCCTGAGAATGTTATCAGCATTTCTCTCCCTCCCCAGCTGTCCTTGCTTAGGGGTTTTCTCTTCAGCTGCTGAAATAAAAAGGCCAAAGCAAGCAGGGCACCAAGAGCAGGAGCATGGCAGGACAGGTGGTGAAGGGATAAAAAAAAAAGAAAAGATGGAAAGTGAGAAAAATGAACATTAAAAACTAAAAAGGTTTAATGCAGGTGAATGAATGCCTCGTGTAGCAGCTGCTGTCATGCACCAGGACAACTCCAACCAGAAAAATGCTGAATTTCAAATAAAGAAAATGCATTGTCTCTAAGGTTAAGACAGATTAATGCTGCTTTTTCTTCTGGAATTCCTCCTCCAGAGCCCAGCATCTCCCAGCTTCTGCCTGTGTGAGCTTTGCTATGCCAAGGCAGCAGTGCCATTCATCATTCCTGCTTGTAACACATTCTGAGGAACAAACACCCAGCCAGCCACAAACCTGATATTGCCAGCCCACACAAACACTGTCAGCCTCACTTTTATGTGCAGCTCAGGGCACCCTGCTCACACGTCCCATTTTTCCTGCCAAACTGAGGCACTCTGGCAGCACCAGCTGACATTTCTCTCACTGTGAGTGTGATATTTCTGTCACACTCACACACAGCAGGTTGGGGTGACTGACAGGCAGCACCTTCTCTGCTGCTCTCTCTCTCCAGGAGGAATTCCCCTTGCAGCCCTAAATCCTGGTGTGACATCATGGCTGAGTCAGGAATTCCTCTGGAATGTGTGCCAGAGGAACTTCCCCTCAGCAGGGCAGTGCCAGCACCAGGAACACATTTCTGCTGTTCAGTGGTAAAATCACACACAAACACAGGTTTAGCTCTATTTGACAGAATGTTTGCCATCACTCACATTTTTCTGTGTTTTCAGAAGCAACCACTCTCCAGAAGCATCACTATTCCAACTTTTAAAATTCAAAGCACAGAGCATTAATCTGCCTTTTAGAACAACACATCTGCCAAAAACTTTTCACTTTAAAATGCACAGAAGCATGAAAAGCAAAGGAGAGTTACCCTTCTTAGCTCCTGCTCTGGAGGAAGCAGTGAAGAACTTCTTCACAGTAGTGACCTTTCTTGTTTTCTCATTGGTTTTCTTCTCCTCAAACTTGGAGAAGGTCAGGGACTGTGCCCCCTGGCTGCTCTGGCTGCTGGCATAGGCTTCCTCCTCCTCACGCTGGAGCCTGCAGGTGGGAAAACACAGGTCTGGTGTCATATTTTATGAAAAATCCTTTTGTTGGGATCTTTTCTCCTGAGAAGCTTCAGAAACAAAATGTAAACAATGATTATCTGCTGCAGTGGAATGCAGCAGGTGAATCTTTGATTGGTCTCATGTAATTGTTTTTTAATTAATGGCCAATCACTGTCCAGCTGTCTTGGACTCTTGGTCAGTCACAAGATTTTATTATCATTCCTCTCCTTCCTTTCTCTTTCTTTAGTATAGTTTTAATATATAATTTTTCTTTTAATATAAAATATATCATAAAATAATAAATCAGCTTTCTGAAACATGGAGTCAACATTCTCATCGCTTCCCTCATCCTGGGACCCCTGCAAACCACCACAGTCTGGTTTAAGGGCTTAGAAACAAGGCAAAGGAGCTGATTTCTTGTGCAATCATTAATTACTCATTTTACATTTTAATTCTCCCCTCTCCTTATCTCCCTTCACTACAGGACACCCCCATTTCCATGCTGCAGTGGTAGAAGTGAGGGAAGCTCAGGGTTAAATAGTGAGGGGCAAAGGGAGATGACTGAGATTTAAGCATGGTCACCTTCCTCTGATGTCACACTCTGAGTTACCCAAAGGCACAGGGGGGATTTCCAGCAGGAAATTCATCCAGCAGCAGATTCATTCAGCAGATTCATTCCCAGCAGCAGATTCATTGCCTTCTGCCCTGCCTCACACTGAGTTCCCCAATCTGTTGCCTCAGGCAGTCCTTCCCATCTGACAAAATCAAAATACCCTGTCCCAATCTCAGGAATATTTTGGGAAATAGATCATTGTTGTCAGAATCTGCTTTGGTGATAAATATCTGCTTGAATGGATGAGGCAAAGTTTGAAAGAACAAGTTTTTAATCTAAAGTAGGGGAGGGCAAACTCACCAACCCTGCACCCTTTTTCCTCCTGTGCAGGAGTATTCAAACAGGTCACATTCTGTCACCCCACAGGATGCTGGATGGGAGCTGAGCAATTCTTTAAACATCCCTGCAGCTCAGGATGGACCATCAATAGTCTGGGATCTGCCATCTCTTGAGGCAGGAATTGGATTTTATCAGGCTCACTGCAACAAACAATCCCAGCTTATCTGTGCCTTCAGCATCTCCCAGCTACTCATTAAAGAATTCCTTAAATACCTCACTTTGCTTTAGAGATGATCCAAGACTGGCAGCATAAATATTTGCCCTAATAATAAAGTTGTTATTAAATGTGCAAGACATTTATGGCAGAGGAAAACAATAACATGACCCCTGTGAAAACACACCTTCCATTTTCAGGGTCAAGCATTTATCACATGAGGAAAACTAGATTGGCTTGCAGAAAATAAGTGATTGGACAATTAAAAAAAAGCTTTGATGTTCTTTGGCTTAAAAGAATGACCACAGACAAGACTAAAATCAGTTTCTGACCAGCAGCTGGAATGTAAAACCACAGTGCTGGAAAGAAATAATTGCCATCTCCAGAGGGTATTGAATCAAAATTGTCTAACTGCTGATAGAAATACAGATTTGCATATGCAAATTAGGCCAAAGTATTCATTGGCAGGTTGGGCTCTGTTTAGATTTGTTCCCCCTCAGATTTTCTTTTCAAACCTCTTACACCAGAATGTCCTGAACATCCATCTTTGCATCAAAAGGAAGGAAAGGTCAAATTGGGGGATTTGTGATGAACCTGAGCCAGAAACAGGACCAGGAAAGAGGAGGCAGGAACAGAATTTGGAAGACTCACTCTGAAGGAAGAAAACATCCATCATCTTTGTATCAAAAGGAAAGAAAGGTCCAACTGGGGAATTTGTGATGAACCTGAGCAAACAGGACTGGGAAAGAGGAGGCAGGAACAGGATTTGGAGGAGTGACCCTGAAGGAAGAAAAGAAGGTTCTTTACCGCTCTGCCAGCTCCCAATCCTCTTGGATCTGCTTCTGCCTGGCCTTGTGGTATTCCTCCCTCCAGCACTTGGAGCAGAAGCCCTGCCAGGCAGGGTTGCCATAGTACCCACAGCCCTTCTTGCACAGCAGCTCCGACTGATCCACGTGGATCCCCCTGCGCTCCGACTTCAGGTTCATCTTCCTCCTGAGGAAGAGGAGAAGGGTTAAAATCACAAACCTGGCAGCAGCCTGCGGGAAATCATTGCTTCTGAGGGTTTGCCTTCAGAAAGGAGTCACCTGCTTGAATTATTGAACAGCTCCATAGCAACGGAATGAGGGGAGGGAGGGCACGGTTATGTAACCAGGAGCCCCAAAGCCAGGGGACAAAGGGACATCTTGTAGGGCTGGGACCCTCACACAGGTCCAGGGTGTGCCCCAGGGATCCAGTGACAGTCCCACAGGCAGGGGACAAATTGCCAAGGCACATTTTCGTAGGGCTGTGACCCTCACACAGCCCTAGAAAGTGCCCCAGGGATCCAGTGACAGTCCCACAACCAGGGGACAAATTGCCAATGCACATCTTTGCAGTGACAGTCCCGCAGGCAGGGGACAAAGGCCCCAGACACACTTTGAAGGGCTGTGACCATCACACAGGACCAGAAAATGGACCAGGGAACCAGTGACAGTCCCACAGCCAGGGGACAAATCACCAATGCACATCTTTGTAGGGCTGTGACCCTCATATAGCCCCAGAAAATGGCCCAGGGACGCAGTAACAGTCCCACAGCCAGGGGACAAATTGCCAAGGCACACTTTTAGGGTTGTGACCCTCACACAGGTCCAGAAAATGGCTCAGGGCAGAAGTGACAGTCCCACAGCCAGGGGACAAATTGACAAAGGCACATCTTTGTAGGGCTGTGACCCTCACACAGGTCCAAAGAGTGCCCCAGGGAACCAGTGACAGTCCCACAGCCAGGGGACAAAGGCACATCTTTTAGGGCTGTGACCCTCACACAGGTCCAGAAAATGGCCCAGGGCAGCAGTGACAGTCCCACAGCCAGGGGACAAAGGCCCAAGGCATACCTTTGCAGTGACAATCCCACAACCAGGGGACAAACTGACAAAGGCACATTTTTGCAGTGATAGTCCCACAGCCAGGGGACAAATTGCCAATGCACACCTTTGCAGTGACAGTTCCACAGCCAGGGGACAAATTGCCAATGCACACCTTTGCAGTGATAGTCCCACAGCCAGGGGACAAATTGCCAATGCACACCTTTGCAGTGATAGTCCCACAGCCAGGGGACAAATTGCCAATGCACACCTTTGCAGTGACAGTTCCACAGCCAGGGGACAAATTGCCAATGCACACCTTTGCAGTGACAGTCCCACAGGAAGGGGACAAAGCCCCAGGCTCTGCTCTCACCAGCACCTTGCTCTCAGAGCCAATACACAAAGCAATGGGGAAATAAAAAGAAATAAATTTCCAAAAAGCAGCAAAGGGAGCAGACACAATGCACTGTGTGAATGAATGAACAGAATGCATTCTGCCTGCACAGAGCCGCTCTGGGGAGGACTCAGGGACTCTGGCCCCAAAAGGGCCCTTGGGGAATCACAGCTGACCCCATTTCCCCCAGGCTCTGCCAGGGTTACAGTCCCTCCTGCACACAGAACAGCTCTGGGGGTTTGTATTTAGTGACTGCAACAGAAAAGTAAGGTTAAGGTGTGCGTGTTCAAATATTGATTTTTATTTTTCACTATTGACAAACAGGGAAACAGCAGAATTGGCACAGCAAGGTTTTGCCCAGTAAATTCAGCCCCTTTTCCTTCCTGCCATGTAGGGAAAGCAAGAGGAAAAAGGGATTTTCTCAAACTGAAGAACACCAGTCAATGACTCAGAGTTTTCTTCTGTTCCCCTGAAATTCCACCCCCAAACTCTTCTCTGGATCATCCAGCAAAAGATGGAATATGCACAAATGTCACTGAGAGTTCTCTACTCCAGGAAATTCCAGCTCTTTTCTTCCAAGCTCTTTTTAAAGTTATCCCTTTAAAAAGACTGATCATGTTTAACATTTCCCATTAATGTAATCAAGTTATTTTGAGCTAAGTAACAGGAAACACCCAATTTTCTCTGAGGGGGGAACAAATTCAATATTCCATCTTATCTACGTAAGGATTAAGATTTCTCCCACTTTTCTATTTTTGAAAGAAATAATGAGTTGCTAAAAATAACCTAAAAATAGTTTCATTGTAGAGATGTGCATATTAAGGGAATCAATTTCTTAATGACATCATTTATAGCTACGTGTTCTCATTTTTATAGATGGGAGAGCAGCTGAATAATTTCTTTTTTTTTCCCACTGAAAAGCCTGACAGATGATATTGTGCTGCTGCAGAGCAAAACTGAAAAAAAATTAAATATTTGAGAGTTTTACTTCATTCCCATAGACAGAAATAACTGAGAAACATAAATATTTTGCTTTCACAAAAATTTTTTGGTTTCATTTGCTGATTTCTCAAGGAAGGTTTGTGTGGGAGCTCCTGGCTGCCAACACCTCAGAGGTCAGAAATGAAATTTTCAGTGTGTGTCAGCTGCACAGCCTGGGCAGGAATTGCATTTTGGCAGCATTGGCACACTCAGGCCATTCCCAGAGCATCACTCGTGTCCTTGAGCAACAATTCTGAAAAGAAAGGGGAAGGAAAAGCCTGAACCTCTTCACTGATTCAGTTTCAAGAGCATTTCCTAAAAGCAGAAGCTGCAGCAGCATTTTGGTCAGAGACCTCAATTGCAGGTGCCTGCCCTACAAAAAAATGCTATAAATATTCATCAAATGTTTAATTGTCACTGATGTGAAGCTGATCAATCAATGTTTTCACTGGAAACCACAATAAATAAAAACATTCTCATACCACAAACCTCATAGAAATGCTACAGGGATCTGTGTCAGGAAATAAAACCCTGTAAAATCCTGTCACCCACCAGAACAGAGTCACAAGCCCAGAACTGCAATAATTCCAAGAATTCAGGTGTCTGTTCTTATTTAAAAGCACAACTCTGGAACTGCAGTAACTACAATTACAACTTATAGTTACAACTTTGGAACTGCAATAATCCCAAGACTTCAGGTGTCCTTTATTCAGTAAAATTCTGTCACCCACCAGAACAGTCACAACCCCAGAACTGCAATAATTCCGATAATTCCAAGAATTCAGGTGTCTGCTTTTATTTAAAAACACAACTCTGGAACTGCAATAACTATAATATAGTTACAACTCTGGAACTGCAATAACCCCAAGAATTCAGGTGTCTGTTCTTATTCAAAGCCCCAAATTCCAAACTTAATTTGAAAATTAAAGGATAAATCCAACACCTGACCCTGCTTCTGTCCCACACCTGAAAGCACAGCATGGCTCTGCCACCAGAGGGGCACCAAAATCCCCTCTGTGCCCACAGAGCTCCACCCTGTGTACATTAAATGAAAAATGAATCTTGTTATTTATTAAAAATAAATATTTATTTATTAAAAATAAATCCAGGGAGCAGAGCAGGGAGCTGCAGGCACAGCCCTGCCCTCCCTGAGGGTTTGCAGGGCCACCAGCCCAGCCTGGGGACAAAGGAGTCACCCTGAGCACAGCGAGGAGTCACATGCTGCACGCAGAGCTGACACTTCACACAGAAAAAGTCCTTGCAAACAAAACAAATAAAGTTTCTCAGCTGATTTCTGCAGGTAAGCATTAATATTGTAATGAGGAAACAACTCAGGGTTTGAGAAAATGAATGTGAAAAAAAAATCAAATTATTTTTGGCAAGTAACTTAATGCCAAATCTTACATAATAAAATAATTATAAAATAAATTTAAATTTTTTTAAAAGTTAAAATTATAATAGATAATATTAAATATACATAATATATAATAGATAATATATAATTATATAATAAAATATATATTATAATATTATATCCTATTATTATATCATAATATATTATATAGTAACATTATTATATATTAATATTACAATGTATTATATACAATATATAATCATAATTATGTATTATATTATGTATAATATTAAAATATTACATAATTATTTTTTCTATTTATAACATATTATTATATTAATAATATTTATGCCATATATAGTATTCTTATAACATAAGATTATGTTACATAATCTTATGTTATAAGAATACTATATGTGGCATAAATATTATTAATGTAACAATATTTTATAATATATAATATATAGAATATAATATTTATAAAAGATATAATAATATAATTATACAATTATATTTTATCATATATGTTAGATAATATATATTCTGTATAATTATATTTTATATTATCATATAACTATAGAATTATAAAATTCTATTATATACATATAATTATATCATTATAATATACTATGTATAGAAATAATATATTTTTTATATTTATAATTATAATCTTACGTAATAAAAACGTTTTGTTGGAACTGTAGAGTGTCCAAAATGCTTTTTCCCCCTTCCTCTGTTCCTTTCCCTCGCACTCCCAAAGGTGACCATTGCTTACCCAAATCAGCTCCTCTGCACACTCACAACACACATTTTGCAGGGTCACATCTCCTATTTTCACTCATGGTCTGTTCAAAGCTGACTTCAAACATAATTGAAAGGAAAAAACCAAATTTGTTGTTTTTTCTGGAGTTGGAGAGCAGCAAACTCCAAACCCCTTTACACCACCTGCCCACTGAGAAATCAGAAAAACATAAGGAAGGTAACAATTTCCCACATGAAAATAAAAAAAAATCTAATCCAGAAGCACAATAAAATAGCAGAAGATCACAAGTAACATTAATAAGTAAAAGTTGGAGAGAGGCTTTGCACCAAACACCCTCCTTGCATCTCCTGGATCCCAGTTACAGCACTCCCAGGAGCAAAAATTTAACAATTTAAAATCTCTTCATCCACTGCTTTGCTTAGTGAGTGTTCCAAAACACTGTGAATTCATCAGGAAAAGCTAAAACAACACCTCAAACACCACAGGACAGAATCAGAATCTTCTCTTGAGCATTTCTGTGCCAGGACTCAACCTCATCACTCTGTAATATCTGTGTTAATTAGCAACACCCCCTTCCAAGAGTTCACAAAAACAATGGGCTCTCAGACTTAGTTATTAATTTATAAATGTCTTTACTTAATGTTACTTATTTGCAAGTAAATGTTCTGGTTTCCCCTTCTCCAGTGAAATGGGAAAATGGAAATCACCCA